CGACCACAAAGACAAAACAAAACAAAAAATTGTACTTTTTTCAGGAAATAAGAGAAAAAGAGCCGGTAAAAGAGATGAGTAGTATCCCCGCCGGCAGTATTCGAGCCTGGAATAGGAATCACGCCCCATCTCTAAATACCCGCTTTTCGCAATTATGTACAGACCATAGGAGAATTCGCGCAAAGTACAGATTATTTGGTGATTTTTAATATACATGGAAACTAATTTATTAGTTATAGAAATACAGTTTTCAGCTCAACACCCGCCTTGGCTGCTCCTATGCTGCCGGAGGGAGAGAGACCATACGGAGTCTGCTGACCTCTCCTGGAGAGAGACGACGACGTGTAGAGCCCTGTGGCGACATCATTACGAGCAGCGTTCGCACCTGTGCGCAGGTGAGCGAGTGTGTGTGTGTGGGATTAATAGCCCAGCACGCCCCCGCCCCGCCCCGCCCCGCCAGGCCGCGGGCCCCGCACAACTCTGTCCGGCCGCACTCAGTCAATCAGACACAAAGGCAAAGCCGAGCAGCAGCAGGCAGGGCTGAGCAGCTGAGGTAAGGTGAATCATGAGTCAACTTTTTTTTACTTTATTTCCTCCTCCTCCTCCTCCCTTCTCTTTGGTTGGAGCAAAAGGGAATGCTCATGACGAGGCCAGTCGAAAGGGAGAGAAAGTCCCCCGCCCGGTGGCATTGGCAAAGTGTCCCTTTTCAAGCATTCGCCAACGAGGCGACCGATGACTCGTTTGCCAAAAAAACAAACCGCGGGATCAAACTAAAAACGAGAAGAGCGAGGAAAGAAGGAGGGGAGGGGGACGTGCTGTTTTTTTCCTTCTGGTAGAGACAGTCTTGGGGAGGAAACACTATTAATATATCATGGCATCGGTTACCCATGCCGTGGCGGTGTGGAGCGCCCAGTGTGCAGTCCGCCCCGTGCGACGCGCAAGGCGAGCGGGTCTGCCTACCCCCGCAGGCGCTCCAGCCTCTGCTCCAGCAGCCTCGGCTCCAGCCAGCCTCCGCTCCAGCCAGCCTCGGCTCCAGCCAGCCTCCGCTCCAGCCAGCCTCGGCTCCAGCCAGCCTCGGCTCCAGCCAGCCTCGGCTCCAGCCAGCCTCTGCTCCGCAGCGACGCGGAGGCGCTGCAGATCGCGGGCCTCCAGCCTGATACCGGCCTTGTCCGTAATCGCCTCCTCCAGTGTGTGGGCCAAAGTTGCTCAGCTCCTTCTGCTTTATGTTTCTTGGACACTGACACCTTTTGCAATAATAATCGTATTCAACGCACCATATTTTCCTAACATTTTCTTCACCGCGACCACCGCCCGGTCGTACAACACCCCTCCCCTCCTCCTCCTCCCAGAAGAATCGCACATTCGACTATCGTATTTTTAAATCCCCGGAGTAATTTTTCCGCGACCTCCACTATACCACACCACCAGCCCACGGCACGACTCGCCTAGGGCGACGCCGCGCAGCTCTGGCAGCAGATAGACACCCGCGAATGGTGCCCAGCCCAGGGGCTCCCCGCCCAGCACAGCCAAATCCCCCGCCCTCCCGCCCAGATAAGCCCTCCTTTTAGACACGCCGATGGGCCGATGCGATGTTCAGCGTGTGACGGACTGGGACAGACTCGGGCGCCTCGCGGCCCGCCCAGGGCGATAATCTCTAACGTCGTGTTGCTGGATGTTTGAAAGCAGAACATCGAAAACAAAGGCACAGCACGAGCGGAATTTTCCAAATACATTTTTGCATGCATTTAAAAGAGTCACACTGTGCTCTGCCAAAGTATAGGCAAAATTTTTCGACACCGTATTGCATTTTGCATCTATGAGACTAGGCCGCTTCACATTCGTAGGAATTGTTCTGACCATTCGCTTTGGCAACACTGACGCGCTGTTCGGGCGACACGCTGCACGCCCATCGCCTATGATTCCCTGCATCCCGGGCGCCGCCGCCCAGGCTGACGCGGCCGTCGCGGCACCTCCTCGTCTCGCATTGTTCCCTTCTGAGCCGCGACAGGCAGAGGGGACCTGCCTGCAGTCAGAGAGAGAAAGTCAACATATTTCGCACGGCTGCCGAGAGGCTAGGGGGCCCTTTGCGGCCCAGCTGATAGAGCGAGGGGGGTCGTACTGTGCCCCAATTACACCGTAAAAATAGTAAATGGCCACAGTAAAAAGTTGCCGCGTCTACACAGTAATTTCCTATTCACTGTTAAACGTTTTACGAGAGAGCCGACGCAACCGATTTGCGATGAATCCTTTAGTTAATGACTATCCACAGTGTATGCGTTATCCAACTGAGGGCCTTAAGTCGAATAAGTCGTCGTCTAAGTACATTCCAGCACGACCCAAGGTATGTCTATGCGCACCACGCACCACACTGTTAAATTCCTACAAAGCATTCGCTTTGCAGAGCTGCGAAGTATTTTGCTCCTTTGTAACTACAAAGCATTTACTTTGCAATTACAAAGTGATGCTTTGCAATTGCGAAGCAATGAAAACGCTGCAAAGCATCGCTTTGCAATTGCAAAGTGTCACTTCGTAATTGCAAAGCATCACGTTGTAATTGCGAAGTAAATGCTTCGTAGTTAGAAAGGAGCAAAATACTTCGCAGGCTTTTAACAGTGCAGGCGCCTACTTTGCCACCCATTCGCCTAGGGCAACCGGACCGGGGCTTCTTCCCTCCAGTCGACCCGCAGCCCACCGCGTGCCAAACAGATAAGTCAAACCCAAATAACCCGTGGCGCTGGGGCATTCCTCCTTGCTCAGGTCCACGACGGCGGCGCCTCTCCTATGCACGGCGCCTCGACAAAGCGGTTCCCATCGCGGTGGGCCGCCTCGTCCCACCGGCTCCGGCGGCAAAGCCGACCACAATCACTCATAAATGTCAAGGGGCCTCCACAATCAGACCGTGGCCCTCGAGCGAGTGGCGTAGCTAGGGCCAACGGAGCGAGTTTGTAAGAGAGAGGAAGGAAGACCGCGCCCTGCTTCCTCCTTCTCTCTCTCTCTATCTCTCTCTCTCTCTCTCTCTCTCTCTCTCTCTCTCTCTTTTTCTCTCTCTCCGCGTTGCTCCGTCACTCTTACTTTCTCTGAAAGCCGAATCTCGTCCGGGATGACGGAATGCACTTAGGTCAGGCCAGTGCAGCGCAGACGCAGCCTTCACCAGGCCCCCGCTGCTGCTGCTGCTGCTGCCGCTGCTTCCACTGCTGTTGCCGTAGCAGCCCCCCACGTACAACATCCTCGCCCCGGGCGGGTGGTCCACTGGCCTTGCAGCACCTCCAGGACACCACGTCCGCCGACGAGCGAGCGAACCAGACCCCACGATGCATGTTTAATTACACACATAATCTAACGTCTATAATAATAATAATTTTAATGCGGCCATCAAGATCACCCCTTCTCCTTAAGTACTTTCAAACAGTTCAGCACCAAATAGATGACGTAGCAGTACGAACGAAGAGAACCGGGAAAAGACGGGGAGGGGGGGGGGGGTACTTTCACGCCCAGCCGCATGGCGGGCGGTGCCATTCCCTCCGTTCGACATTTCGGCCAGGGCAGCACAAACAGGCTCATCGGGATGGTCAGGCGCGGGGCAGGCCAGCTAGCCAGCCGGCAGCCAGCCCACTGAACCTGACTCAATCAAGTCATCAGTCCTCCTCCTCGGCGCGGGGGCATCGTTAGCCGCATCGGCACAGCGCAGTGCAATTATTGCCCCCGAGTATCAGCCGG